CTGTAGACTGACCGTTCCAACAAACCAGAAGCACTTGCGTAAGTGGCTTGTCCTCGCCAACTGCTTGCACAAGTACAGCGTAAATTACGCAGAAATAGCGCGGCCATTATCCAATCTTCTTCAAAAGGATGCGGAATGGTGTTGGAACAACGAACGGGGTCAAAGACTGACGGGGTCAAAGACATCCTCCTGCATGCACCAATACTGGCACTACCAGATCCCGATCGTCCTTTCAGCGTCGTCTGTGACGCTTTGGACTTTGCCATCGGCTGTGCACTTCTGCAAGCAGACGCCGAGGGGCGAGATCGGATGGTCGCGTTTGAATCTCGACAGCTCAAAGCTGCGGAGAAGAACTACCCAGTTCATGACAAGGAGCTACTTCCGATGAAGTATGCACTTGTCAAGTTCAGAGCCCACCTGCTCGGCTCCAAGTCGTTTGTGATCCATACAGATCATGCGTCATTACGCACTGCGACTCATTCGCCCCACCTCTTGCAGAGGATGGCTGAATGGCTATCCTTCTTTGCGGATTATAACGTCGAGATGAAGTATAAGCCGGGAAAGCAGAATGTTTTGGCTGATGTGTTGTCACGCAGACCAGACTATGAGCTTGCTCATGTTACAACAGTAACGTCGTCTGTGACGGATTTGATCAGCACTGCGTATGCGGGTGATGGGATGTAAGTAGCGTTGCTACGGACTCTCGGGAGCAAAGAGATTGGAATCTCGGACAAGAAATTGTCACAAAGACTGCGTGCACAATTGCACCGATATTCGTTGAATAAAGGGTTGCGTTACCATAGCACCGATTCGTCGAATACACCACGAATTGTGGTTCCTCATGATAAGAATATAAATAACTGCATCCTCTATAAGGCGCACGACACGCCACTCAGTGGTCATCTCGGTCGTGAGAAACCGTACAACTCTGTGAGTCACCACTCTTGGTGGCCTAAGTTGTACAAATGGACGAGCACCTATGTGCGCACGTGTGAGACGTTTCAACGGGTGAAACTCGCTCCAAATGCGGCTGCGCCGCTGTCCAGCTTACCTGTACCCACTGGGTGCTGGCAGTCCATGCGTTTGGACTTTGTGTTTGAATTGCCGAAAAAATCGGCGGGCAACACGGGTGTCGTGGTTTTCGTCAACCGGTTGAGCAAGATGGCCCATTTGGCGTCGGTGCCAGACACCATCGACGAAGTCGGAAGAGCAGCGCTATTTGTAGATCGTAATTTTCGACAACACGGACTCCTAGAGTCGATTGTCTCTGATAGAGTCTCCCGTTTCGCGGGAAAATTTTGGTCGACTATTTTCAAGGTGCTAGACACCAAGTTGGATTGTCGACAGCGGATCATCCGCAGACCGATGGTCAAACCGAAAGCGTGAACCGCGTCATCGAAGACGTTCTTCGCAGCGCCTGCGTTGAGACGCCGAGGCGCTGGAGCGCCATGTTGCCACTCTTAAAGTTTGCGCTGAACAATGCAGTGCATTCGTCTACCGGCTACACGCCGTTCTACGTTAACGGGCTGATTAACCCTCGCGTCCCGCTGACACCGCCAGCTCATGGCTCGGGGCTTAGTGGGGGAAATAGCCGGCTAGCTGATGTCAGCTCCCTCACCATCTGTAAAGAAATTGATGACTTCTTGTCTACCAGACTGAGTGTCCTACGACACGTTCGCGATGTGATGGCTGGAAGCCATGACCTGCAGAAGCAATATACAGATGAAAATGTATGAGATAAAGTGGGAAGATTTGAGGTCGAAGTTTTACCAAACTTTAAAAATCTGCCTACACATGCAGCCTCTGCTGTCTTTAGGACGAAGCTTCGTCCACAGTTAATCGGACCGTTTAAGGTTATGGCCAAACGGGGCCTGGCGTACGCGCTGAACTTTCCGAAACGGATGCGCACCCACCCGGAGTTTGACGTAGACTTGCTCAAGCCGTACCAGGATCCGGCGCAAGTGAATGCGGAATCGTTGGCGCCGGAGCGGATCCCACGGGCTCACGAACACCCAGTAATTGAACCAGCCACTGGTTCTGAGCACGGAGTGCAACAAACTCCATTTCCAATAGAGCCAAGCGCTCCACCGTTGCCTGCAGCGATGCATTCGTCTGCTCCACGGCTAGAAGTCGCTCCGACGGAGAGCGGTAGTCTTCACGACGAGGCAACCGGCGCACGACGTGCTTTCAATCATCAAGAGCGTCCGCACAGCGATAGCTACTTCAGCATGACACTCAACGGAGCTCCGATTACGAAGGATCTTTTCCTCAAGGGCTCGAAGAGCATCACGAGTCACCGGACGGCGGTCGACCCGGTCGTCAC